TTTGAAATGTTCTGAGTGACTTTAGCAGATATCCAATAAGCCTCCCACTTCCTCCGCTGTTTCCAGTGCAGAGGCTTTGATTTCTTTNATGTGGTGCTTAGCACAATCATTACTGTTCGTCTATAAGGTTCTTTTATGAACCTTCATTCTGTTGTTGCCAGATTTTGAACGCTAATCATCTGATGGACAAAGAAAAACTACGGTCATTTCTTCTGATTGCACAACATCAACACATGGGTGGGTTCTGCAAGATTCCGGAAGAGTCAGGATACCCTGGTTTGTTGTATTTCACATTTCAGGACAAAAAGGTTTCTCCTTCGTAGGAAACCCTTTTGTGAATGGTTTCATATTTCAGATCTGTTACACACCTACTTCTCCATAGCGGCGTTTTCTCTTCTACGAGAACCGGGTTTAGCACCAATCAATGCATCACTGAATGTTTCAAGGCATGTATATGAGCGGATTCTTAAAAGCTGATTGATTCTAATCAATTTGATATTCTATATGCCATTGTACCGGTTTGTGATGACCGATCTGAACCGGGATTGTTATGTTCCGAATTTGATGTACTCTGCAATTCTAGCTCAAAATTTGTGTGTGTTTTGTTTTGGTGTAATAAATATGGATCAGAACATAGTAGTGCTGCTTTGAGTGATTGCTGTACTGCAGTTGTAATACTCATTACTAAATTTTCTCACTCCAAAAATGTCGGGCTCAAATTTGTAGGAAGTATCGGAGATTAAGGTCCCAATGATTCTACTTCCTCCGGCTGACCTTGATCAGGATGAGGCCACCTTCCGAATTCTAGCACATCTGCGAACATTTCAACAGGTATGCTTCTAGATTTGCGCACTTTTTACTTGTGCTCGTTAAATGAGAAAATTTCCAGACGGCTGACTCGCTTTTCGAACGCATTTCATCGCGAACTGAGGTGCTGAATGCTACATATAAAGGATTAGACGCACGACTCAAGAAAGCTCAACGAAAACTATCAACGTTAACTCAAGTGGGTGCATGCTCATCATTTTTATGAGTGCTATGGATAATAAATATGTTCTCAGTGTGCCTGTGTAAAGGTGCTAGCATAGGTGAACTGTCATGAAATAACTGTCGTAAAAGTGAAATCCTAGTTTTTTATCGGTTTAGTCGCGCGGATAGTGACGTACACAATGAATTTCTATACCGGTTCAGTGAGAGCTGAGCATAGTTCGAGAACTGTTGAATAACATTTTCAACCAATATTGTAGCATTTCAAGTTGGCATGCCTCATCTCTCAATTCATCATATTCAGATGAACACATCTGGTGTTCTGACTTGCCTTTCACGGTTTCCCGCTTCCGAATACCGCCCTGCACGAGATCTCACTTCAGTAGAAGGAAAACCAACTAATAGTAAGTATTTTGGGAAAATAGATGATAAAAGATCATTTAGGTTCTGTCTCAGACGGGAATTTTTTTCGAACCCGAAGTCATTTTCCATATGTAAAACTTCTTTAGTTTGTCCACTAAAAAAACCTGCTGGTATTCGTTGTTACTATGAACTCTCCTTCATATTTGGTAAAATTTCAATCAGTACCAAGTGTGGTCCATGCTTTTTCAGTTGTATTTCAACCGAAGCGCCAACAAGAACGTGTGATTGATATGCGTAGGGAACTCGACGAAAGAAAACGGTTCTATCTGCCAAGTCATTTGATGAACGGAATTACCAAAGAACCACCGAAAGGTAAGTGCAAAACAGAGGGATAAAGGGGATGTTATCAACTGCGGACCTATCTGAATCTTTCAGAGAGGCCACCACCACCAAAGATAGCATCATTTGCTGATATGTTTTACTGTGGGACTGATGAGTTAGCATACGGGAAAAAATCATCAAAACGAATTGGATTTGTCAGTCAAGGGAAAAGTGATACGTTTTCGAGGTAAACACTCTGAATCCTTTTTCTGAGTAGATTCCCTCGTCAACTAGGGGACTCATTCGATCTTCAGATAATTTATTTTGCATGATTCCTATCGTATGGTTCGTTACTGACAGCTTCTTGAGCCATCTCTGATGGAGTCTTTTCAGCGTAGACATTAATGTGGTCGAGGCATCAGCGATAGGTGGAGGTCATAGCCAGGAAAGAGATCCTTTGGATTATGTGCCCGAGTTAGGTCCTATTGAAGACCTAGACCTTCCCGACATCCTACCAGATTTGCCAGGTACGGCGATTGTCATTCTTTCGAATTGAAAACAGTCTGCCCATCGACTTTTGTTTTCTGAGTATCTGTGTTTGTGCTGACCCTTTTCTGAAAGTGAAAGTAGCTATGCTTTGGATTGTACCAGATGGAAGCTTTCAGGTATTGCTGAAGATCTGACTCTTCTCGAATATGGTATCGGGCCGTCGATATTTCCTGATAATCTGGTTTTCCCTGAGCCGCCACGGGCTACACCTGACAGTGAACGAAGTAAAGGGTCCAGAAGTGAAAATACCGAGAAAGGTGAGTATCTCATCATTTTCTTACATTCAAGTAATTTATCATTTTTCAGAAATTGATGCGGCGAAATCTGATGTCTCGTTTTCGACTAGTGAGCTAATGCCCATCATGCCTAAGCCTACAGAGAAGAACGACACCTCAGATAGTCTGCCTACACTTGGAGAAAAGAAAACCAGCATAGATGATCTACTCCCTCCAGCGCCACCACCACCGCCACCTCCACCTCCTCCGCCTAATCTCATGGCTAGCGCAGCTTCACCTCCGCCACCGACTCCTTCGGTTACACTGCCGAGTAATGACAGGTAGGGAGACTGTTTGTCCATTTTGATGACGGCTGCTCCATTGTTCATTGGGTAATCCCTTTCTCCACTGAACTTTTCATTGGTTTAGATCCGATCTGATGGCAGCTATTCGTGCTGCTGGAGGTGCCCAGAAAGCAAGGCTCAGGAAAGTAGCTTCATCGAGGCGTGCGGCCAAGGAGAGCGAGTCGCTTGCTTCATCTGCTTTAGCGGAAAACAAATCATCTTCTGGTGGAAATGACCTGATGGCCTCATTAGCGAAAGCACTGGAGGCTAGAAGAAAAGGTATTTCCTATTGTAGCTCAGAAAATTGTAAAAAATTTCGTAAAGATTGACAGATATCTTCAGCCATAGCTGGGATGGGTAACTCAAGGACGCACAACAAAGGTTCGCTTGCGAGGGAGATTGAAACGAGTCAAATGCATCGAGACGATGGGAACAACAGCGGTGATGATGAATGGAAATGATCATTACAAGTAACCAGTGCCTCCTGAGCCATGTAGTAAGCGGGCATCTTTGATAATTGTTCAAATATAAAGATGTTTGTATGTATACACATCCTGTGATAAATCCTTTTCTGGAATAAATCTTATTAGGAATTCGTCTGCGTTTTACTACCTTGTGGTTCTCTCCATGAGTATACATAGATCTGTTTGATACTGTAAAACAACTGAAATTAAATTTTGATTATTGTTCCCGTTGGAATCGTAGGCTGTAGAACACTTAGTCGGAGAGTCGAGTTATTTGGCTAATGCCAACACGTGACAGTGTTGAGGATATCCACACACCGAATCCACTTCCGGCACGAGGTTTGTTCACTACTTTGTTAACTGTTCGATAGAGCTTTGATAGCTTTCGAATATTTCTTTGAACTTCGAACATTGATCTCATTCTCATATTCTTCGGTTCTTGAACGTTTCTCCTTGAATTCTTGAGCTTTGAAACCCCAGTAAACAATAGTTAATGAATTTCCTACCTTTCCTGACTTCGAAGAGTTGAAAATTTGGGGAACTTCTTTTTCTGACTAGTTTTTTCTTTTTGAAATGTTCTGAGTGACTTTAGCAGATATCCAATAAGCCTCCCACTTCCTCCGCTGTTTCCAGTGCAGAGGCTTTGATTTCTTTGCTCCGATATTTTTTCAACTTGGTTGAATTTCACCGTCACTTGGTAATGGCAAGAACTTGGATGTGAAGATCGGTTATCTGGTCTCATTCACGGTGAATCAGCTTGAACTGCCTGAGTAGAGCGCCCTCTGGCTACTACTTCTTTGAGGCTTTCTCAATTATTTCATGGAAAGCCTTTCACTATATTTCTTCCCTCACATCTCTTCCGCCACCATGATACTTTATTGCTCTCATATGACAGTTAATCGTTTGCAAGATGGGGTTCTGTATTTATGATAATCCCATCACTTTCTCCAATGTGGCCCCTCTTATCTGGTCCTTCTTTGACATTTATCATATACTGACATAATGACACATCAAATACTGACAGTGAATCACTGACAAACAGGACTTGTTGAAGCATCTTGAAGTCAAGTCAAGCGAAACTGTCGTTCAGCTGCAAATAGCTATTTGTCGTTAATCCTAGTTAGTTTGACTGTAAGCTGTAGGTTCGCATTTGCTTCTACAGTATGCAAATTTTTCATGAGTACACGAAAGGACGTTAGTTATCATATTCAGGTATATACGGTTTTGCGCTTTATATATCGTCGTACTGCTTACTGATTTTATATCTGTTGTGGGCTATAGTACCCACGCCAATCTTGAATCGTTTAGGTGAATTCATTTTTTCTTAAGAACTCGGTGAAAGAGTTTACACTATCAGAAAATTGCAGGAATAACATACGTCCCGGCCAAATACTGGGTGATTGCGATCCCATCGCTCATTATCTTAACAATAACTACTTTTGTCGTAGTTGTACTCGCTGTGAATATTTACCGATTTCGAGGATATCGTATATTCGAGGAAGTTGAAGTCAGTTTGATGACCATTTGTTACATTTTTCCGATAAAATAGGGTTCCCACTCAAACGAAATGAGCTAGAAACACGGTCCTAGGTTTAAATATACCTTTCCTATGGAGCTACTTAGCCAGTCTTAGCCAGACCTGTGAGTTCACATGAACAAATTGCCGTGCGATATTTGTTTTGCTCAGTCTTGAATGCAGCTCGCGTTTCGTGGTAGCTGCAAATTTTGAAAGTATTTGAGTGGGCTTCGAGGGTCTCGGATTGGTGATGGGTATCAGCCAGAGCTCAGATTGAGGTACCAACTTCTGCGTTCCGCGTTCAGAATAGATGAGAAGAGGTCTGCGAGTGTACAGTAAAATCTGCACTTTATATTTGCGTTCGCTTCGCGTCCGAAAAATGCAGTCATGAATGTTGCTTAAGCTCGAACTGGAAAAAAAAATTGTAGAAAAAAAACACTGTCCAAAAGTCGGTAAAGCTTATTTCAGGCTATCGAGAACGATTTTGGCGAAAGACCGGTTGCAAACAAACGTAAAATCACCTGGTGTTATTGAGGTACTCTTAAATCAATCTAGTCACTGCTCTGTTTCCACACTGCCCCTCTTTTTTAGGTCTTATAATTTGACGGCGTCAACAATTTTTGAAAACTTTATCACTATGCGATCACATCTTTTACTTCTTTTGAGACGCCTCAAGCATGGTGGAATGTACAAGGTTAAGCGAAAAATCGACGTACCTGGAGCTAATGCGTATAGTCGCGGATCACAGGTAATTTTACACTGGAAAATACAAAAATGCGGTTGAGCCTAAATTTCTTCGGAGACCATTCTCGTCGATTAGCTATAGAAGGATCCAACCTACTTCCGCCCCTCCCCCCACCCCCCTTCCTCCCCTCCCTTCCCCGCCCGAAAATTCGATAGAAGCTGTTAAATTTACTATAACTATGTGAGATGTTATGGGTTATCGTAACTCATAGGTTTCACCTCGAGGGACACATAATCCAGCTACATTGAGTCCCTGAGTTTAATTTTATCTGCTCTAGCATGCTGTCAATCTTCAGAGAACGCCAGATTAGGAAGTCTTCTGAACAGGAAGATATGGTGAGCATCACCTGATTAGTTATGAATAGTAGTTTACTTTGAGCTAAAGTCACATATAGCCCTAATGTCGACCTCTTCTACACCATTTTTTCCTTGATTTTTGTTCTGATTAGGTGCTTCCTTTTGGGCTTATGGGGGTTGACCCGCCTCAGTCCGCGTTACAAGTGCGATAACCAAGGGGTACCACTGTCATCTTGGTTCAGCGTGAATGATTGAAAATTAACTCTTTCTTCAGTGAAAACTGTCCAAACGACCTCGTGCTGATTGTGTCTGACTGCTAAGAATCTGTAATGCAGCCCCATTTTTCCTTTCTATTATGTTTCATCAAACTGTGGCGAACTTTATGCCTCCTAATGATCAGCAATTGTTTTGTTGGGTTCGATAAAGGATGTTTATGGATAAAGACAGATGTTCGATGAATAAAATTTATAGGTGGAGGCAATACATAAACGCTTTGCTCGATACGAACGTCAAAAGAGTGCGATGGCGATGGAGCAAGCTCGAAGTGAATTCTTGACTGATTCCATTATGGCAGAAAACCTTTTAAGGTAGTCGTACAACCTTCTAGCGGCTGAACAAAGAGTACAAAAAGTACCAAAACTTATAATACTGGATAACTGGATATATGTGGTGTACTGACATGTGGCTCACTACCTCACACGCATGGTCACGGGTTCGAATCCCGTATCGGTTTCCGCTTAGGCCAACCAAGCCTTCCATCCCTCTGGGGTCGATTATTTGATAACAGGCAGGAAAAAAGCGCAGACTTGGACATCGGCTGGCCACTACAGTTATTGTATTGCCACACACGCATTCAGTACACCCCTACGATTTTGAATGGTAGTAGAATGCGGGGATGCATCCCTCAGACGGATTGGTCAACGTTCAAGGCTTGATCCTTTTGAACTGTAATTATATAATTGCACACAACAGGCGCGATTTTCTTCCGTGATAGATTTTCTCTCAAGGTTGAAATGATATTTACTTTGTACAAAAAATACGAAACTTATCGCTCAGTGTTGCACACTCTCCCCTCCATTATTCGCCAGGCATTCGAATTTTGTCTAGAGACATAACGGTATTTGAGTGCGTACTCGATCTAGGCATTGAATTGCAGGGTCAGCGTTTTTATCCCTATTCACTAGACAAATTTCATGAAAATCAACTAGTTTTGAAAGGCTTGTAGGTATGGTTGGCATGAGGGATCTCAAATTTGGGATCCAACCTATGTTTGTGTTTAGGATGTTTGTGATTGGGGCTTGACCTACAAGTGCTTCACTGTTTATTTTTTAGTAAGGCCCTCTAAAAGACCATAATTGTAGCTATATCGATTCATAACGGTGGTAATAATGCTTGAATTCTTTTCTTCCAGGAATGAGAGTGTCTATGAGAAGGTTTTAAAACGAAGGACTATAGAAGAGGAGAGGATATCCTCTCCATCAACGTCATCTGAAGTGTACGAACTTCCTCTTGCTGCTAAACCGTTAGAGGAGTCTGTTAAGGAAAATGAAAGTGCTCTTGCAGTCGATGTGGAGTCGTCTGGTAAATTTTTATTCTCTGAATTTGGAGTGAACCGTAGAGAAAGTTTTATATTCTAATCGTGTCATTCTCCTTGACAAATCTTTCATTTTCCAAGAAATCGGTCGAGCCTGCTTAGGATATCAGTGGTACTTGGTGGGAGTTCCCATAGCACTTTACTCCCAGAAGTTCATTCCAAGTAACAGTTGCAAGAAGGAGATAAATTTTTAAGTTGATGTCAATTTATAGCCATTTTTTTCAATTTCAGAGCAGGACCACATCGATCGGGGATATTTTGTTGAAGGTGATGTCTATGTGGATGAATACGTGAGCGGGAAAACGACCGATCTACCGGACGACGAACTTACTATGTACGTGACTGTGTTCAAATTTGTAATGGTTAAGGACAAAGCCATCCAGTAAATACCTACCCCATAGGCGAGAAGGTTATATACAACGATTTTTTCTAACCTACGAGCCACTCGTAGTTTAGCAATTACCTCGTAGGTCTAAGAAAAGATAGCGCTGGCTCAAGTGTGAGATAGAATATTTCGAACTTTGAGCATCAATCTATCTTTTTTGAATAAACAAGGAATTCGCTTCCGTTCAGGGACGCAGTAGCGCTCGGATGATACGTCCTAGGGGCTATTAAGACTTAGTGAGCGATAAATAGTAACCTAGGAATACGTAGAAATTGAAACTGGGAAAAATTATCAAATTTCCCTTCCAAGGTACGATGGCATGTTGCAGGCCTCAACGTCAAATATTCGGTCCTGATGATGCACTCGAACACATCGACTTCCAGCTTCCTGGTCAAAGCACTGGCCAGGTTCAGTTTTTCTGGAATAAAATTTTTTGAAACTGTAGTACTATGTCCTACAGTATAATAATGGATTTAGGACTCAGAATCAGATGAACTTGACCTTGACGAAATCAGCAGTGAGGAAATAGAGCGAGTTGGTTCAATAAATCCAACGAGACCTCCAATAAACAAAAACTGTAGCGGTTGTGGAGCGCAACTGCACTGTAAGGTAAGCAAACTCTCATCTCATTGAGCACGGGCCACGTTTTCCTGCACTTAGTTATGGTATTTAAGGATGCCTCTTTGCCTGGATTTTTACCCGAAGAATTGTTAGATAAAGCAGCTCGTAGAAGAGCTGTGGTGGAAGCCATATTATGTCGGCGATGTCATCTTCTGAAGCATCATAATTTCTTGGTGAGATTTCTTTTTTTACAATTCACTCCCAAAAACTAGAGAACAAGATGTGTTGGGAGAAGGACAATGACCGATTATGGGTTCACCAACGCGCCCTTCCTCAAATTTGCCTATGTCAAGGGGAAACGGTCAAGCTACCGTGTCCTACTAGGAGAGGAGCCCAGAAATATGGTCAAAAGACTGCATAACTTGTCAAACTACAATTTTTCGTATAGTTTGGAGCATTGAAGCAATCCTAGATGTAGAACTGAGCTTACCTACATCGCCTTCGAACAGCGTAACTGCTTAAGTATGATTTCCTAAGCAATCCTTCCTTGCGAGCTTGCCTGCTACAGATTCACAGAGATGTTCCGTAGATCGTACAATTATAAAAATTGCTCGCTTTGAACAACCCACTGCAGCCTTGCCCCAAACAGTAAGTGTAGAGTCCTCATTTTCGGCATAGATCTGTATGTTTCTTGAAAATGTACTATTGAAACAAGGTATAGGAGTTCTACAAGTTTTAGTAAATTATTCCATCTAAGAAATCCGCCTTATTGATTGTTTATAGCTAAATGTCAACGTTTGCTCTGTCGATTATGAATCAATCATGTCGTGCCTTCGAATGAATCCGGAGGCTCTAGTATTGTTGATCGTGGACGTCACCGATATCCCAGGTAGCATCTATCGACAGCTGCCGGGAATCATAGGACCCCGGAGACCTATGATCGTAGTCGGTAAGGGTCTAGAAACTTCAATTTCTAGTGGAACTCGTAGACATGGCGCATTCCAGTAGGGGTGTTTGAACGCAAATCAAAATAACAGTGATTTTTGTATTCAGCAAATAAAGTCGACCTTCTTCCACCGGACGCCCAATGTGGTTATTTAAAAAGATTCAAGAATGTTGTTGACGAAGCAATTGAAGAAGCGGGTTTTCGCGATCAATTCACAATTCTGCACACGGCTCTTGTAAGTGCCAAAACCGGCTACGGTATTGAGGATTTGATTACGGTCAGTTCATTATCTAGACTCATCCGCTCTTTTTGGGCTAACTGCAAGGTCCATTGTCTCGGTCTTCTTTCAGCAAATTCATCTAAAATATACTAATATAAAGCACAGTATGCGGAACGACATCTACCTTGTTGGATGTACGAATGCAGGGAAATCGTAAGTCATCAGGGATTATTCGTGCTGTATCAAAAAAAAGCTAAAATGATATAATTACCTTCTCCCAGGAGTTTATTCAATGCGCTCCTACAATCGGATCTGTGTAAAGTACGTGCTGTAGATCTTGTTGAACGAGCGACGACATCAGTATGGCCTGGCACAACGGTAGGTTATTCCAGTTTCCGTTCAGTTCTAGGGCAGTGCTTCAGGGCCGTGTCAAAAACTGGTGGATAAAAGTGGGTTTGGTGGGTAAGGAATCGGCTTGGATCTCTGGAATAAAAGGTGCGCTAGGTGTTGGGCCTGCAGAAAGCCCTCTTAGTGGGTGGCCGATAGTTTGGGACTCTTTCAATTGATTTTAAACTAAACACTTTGGCTTGCGAGTATGTCAAGAATTATCATATTTCAGCTGTCGTTGTTGAAATTTCCAATAATGAAACCATCTCCGTTCCGGTTGGAATTGCGTAGACGACGAATGCTTCACGACAGGGCATGGCTCCAGAAAGAAATGTACAGCAGGTAAGCTCTTGTGTGCCTCAGAATTACATCACGATTTGTCAGATCATGGGCAAGAATTCTACAGTTTTTGTTAGATGTCATCAGGAATTACGTTGGTGCTTGGACTGCAGTATAACGTCTTGAGAGAGACATTCTAACCCACTTCTAGCTATCATTCTATGAATCCTACCGATCAGCTCGGACTGCGCCCAGTGTTCATTTTCTAACAAAAATTCGAGAAAAAAACTGCATTTTTTGTTCTTCAGTTTGGTACTGTTCAATCTATTCCTGGTCTTCATTGAATTGCGTATTTTAAGGAAACTGGCGCTGCAACAGACAGGCGATCCCAAGTTTGCGGTGTTGATAGGAGCAATTCAAAACACTTTCAAGGTAATTCCTTCTTTCAATGAAATTATGGAGCTAGCCTTATGATTAGATTCTGGACAGCAAAATCGGCGTAAGCCTCCCCTCAATCCCTTTTTATACTCAAAGAAAGCCTTATACATCAAAATTAGGAAAGGGACGAGGAGATGCCGCCGATACCAATCAGTAGGATCACCGGTGAACAAGTCGACGAAGACAATGAAGAACCTACTAAAGGGTGAGTCATTTTCGCAGCAGTTTTTTTCGACATTTGGGGATCGTTTTCCGATAAGTAATTGGATAGGTGATAATAATTGATAACTAAAGATTGATAGCAACACATAATTCATGACTGCTACCAATACCTAACCGCTTTTCTTTCAAGATGGTCATTACGAGATCCTGTTTTCGCGAAAGGAATGTGGTGTTACGACACTCCCGGAACTGTGAACGAACAGCAGGTATGGCATTATTGATTCTTCCATACTTTCTCGTGGTTATTTCATTCTCTGTGCCTATGACGTCCCTTATTCGGCTTTTCTGCTTCAAATGTAACTTTTGGTTTTTGCTTCATCTGTTGATCCTATTCCTTCTCCTAGTTGTTGAAGTATCTGCTTCTTTGTTTGCTTTTTCAGTTTGTCTCTTTTTTTAAATCTCTTTTTAGGTATTGAATTTATTCACCCTGGATGAATTAATACATGTGTTACCTCGACGTCTGTTACAACCCCGAACAGCCCTGGTACCTGTGGGTCATACATTGCTTATCGGTGGCGTAGCTCGGCTAGATGTCGTGGAGTGTGTGAAGGAAAGCAGGGTGCTGGTAAGTTCCTGGAGTTCACCGTTACTGTAGAAATAAGCTGTGAAATAGTAGAATGAGTGAAATTACTCAAAAGCCCAATTTTTTTGACATTTACTCGGTGTTGTGAACTTTCGTTCACCAATAGTCCTTCATTTGCAGTCTCCCTGCATTCATTCCTTTTCAGCTTACCACATTTGTTAGTGACGATCTGCCTCTGAACTGTATACCTACTGCTGAAGTGAAGTCATTTCTTGAAGAAAATCTTGGCACTAAGACGTTAGTGGTTCCTTGTGGAGGAAGCGAAAGAATGGCTCAATGGCCTGCTATGGAGAGCAAGGATTTTGAATTGAAAGGGAAAAAGGTACTTTTCAACATCAACAGCTGTTTGTTAAATACGCCCAGAAAATGAGTTTGTGTTTTAGGGAGGAAAAGCATTGGCGGACATAGTACTGTCGTCAATCGGATGGGTTCTGGTGACTAGTGCCAGTCCATTCATCAAAATCCGATCGTACACGCCTGGTGGCAGAGGGCTGGCAATTAGGTCGCCTATGCTACCATATGCAGCCGAACTACGTGGGAAGAGGATCCCGGCTACCCGATTTTATAAGGTGAGCGTTATCTCTAGCAATCCTCCCGCTCCTTTTCTATGTGAGAACAGTATGCACCCGGTAAAGGGTACTCCTTCCTTCCTGACCGGATAATCATTTTCTTCAAGTGGGTTATTGGGTTCGGGAGGCGGGGTACGTTCGGGAGGGCTGTCAATAAGGTGCATGGACAAACTTTCATGCCATTTTTAAGCTTTTGAGGATAGATATGATTTCATTTTCCTCTACATTTTTCAACAGTAATATATGGCATTTACTAAAAAGGATTCAGTAAGTATTATCTAACCAGTTGGGCTACGCACGCTAATGCGCGCACCACATGCTACCGCATACCTACGACTTGTTAGAGGACCAATATGAACAGGGTTGACTTCCCATTTCATAACTGTTTCCTCACCACGCTCACGTGACATTCACACTTTTCATCGACCTACGTAATTTTCGGGAGCTAACGCCGTCTCGATCTGTCGCTGTTTTTAATAATGACCCATTGAGATTTAACTGGTAAGCATTGAAATCGTCGAATGGTGAATGTTGTCGAGTCATAATAACACCATTATCAAATGTCTTTATGAATGTAGCTCCTTTTCTCTAGGGATACATCATTAAATGAGAATCCAAGTTTATTAGCGGTCGGATAAATTCTGCTATGGATGATATCAAAGCAGAGGGAACCCGTGACCCTTCATTGAATCACAAATTTCGCTGGGTAGCGGTCGTAAGCAAAAAGTGAACCAAATTTCATAATCTGCCCCTATCAGTGCACTTACCCTTCTTGTCGAATGAGACATAACAAAGAATCAAAGCTAGATCGTAAACAACAAAGACGCTAGGATTCAACTGGTGATTGAATCTTGTTTTCTACGCCGCCTGTGGGCGGCGTCCGGTCCTTTCACCCACCATATGTGTTCCCATCCTGCCGCCTGTGCTCCTACCAAATTTGAACGTCCTAGGTCCACGGGGACAGGAGGTATGATTTTCCGCCGAAACACTTTGTTCGCACAAACCCCGCCCCCTGTGGGCAGGGTCCGGTCCTGCCACCCACCGTATGTGTTCCCATCCTGCCGCCTGTGCTCCTACCAAATTTGAACGTCCTACGTCCACGGGGACAGGAGTTATGAATTTCCGTACAAACAGACAGACAGACGGACGGACAGACAGACGCGAGCGCTTTATATAAAGTAAGGATAATGGATATTTTGTTAAAAACCCCATTCTTTCCAATGGTTCCTGTATCATTATCGGGAGGCCTTAAGATGGGCTCCAACTGTCTGACTGATGTTCTGTTCTTGTAATATAGCTTATGACATTAGCACCCTTTAATACCGGGAAACGTCCATTTCAGAAACTCAGATCGGTTAGGGCTAGGCTTGAATGTTTGACTTAATCTGCATTTTCCAGGTGAAGCCTGTGGCATTTCCAGTGAACGAAAGGCGGAAAAGAGTGAACAGGCGGAAGCGATCGTCAAGAGAACCTGATTTCTAACAGTTTGCATAGTTGTTAATCATGTTGTTATTTGTTATAGGACTTATAAAATAAATATAGAATCCTGACACTTATTATTGGCAGTTCGGTCTGGTTGCCGTAAGCATACTGCACAACATTGGCCATTTTTGCCATACTTCCTTATAGTCTTAAATTATTCTTTTCCAATTTTTCCAGACTATACGTAGTAAGCTATGTAACAGGCCTAACAGCATTGATTAATGGATCTTCGTTATAAAACGACCGAGTTACTTGAACGTCATTCGTGGTTAAAGCCAGCTGCGTCGTTATCGACGTTCATTATTGTACTAATTTGTTTCGGATTCGGGTGAGTAATTAGGTCCACAAATTTCCTCGCTAAACCTCAAATGTTTGCTTATCTCAGTTTCTTTAATCTTTATCCTATGGGTATTGTTTATTGTGGTTTTCAGGGCGTTTTCCATCGCATGTTGTCTTTGCTCGTTATGCCTGGGTGTCAGCATAGCGGCTTGGATCGCCAACGATTCAAATGGACGTTTTCTATATCCTCTTGTTCATATGTGGTTTTCGAGTCAGTTTAAAGAAACTCAGCGAAATGTGGCTAATGAGGATTCATCGTCCCAGAAGCGTCGTGTGGTCCCATGGAAGGGTAAGAAAATGTACACAAGCGTTGTCGTTCTTCTTACATTCTACGCATCCTATAGAAGGTTTTTTTTCAGCTTCCTATTGAATTATCTAAATTGGGCTAAACTGGGTTTCAGAGGGATTAAATCAAGGATAAAGCAGTCTGAATAGAATCTGGTGCATTTCAAACATCAAATACATAGTGCTGAAGTGCTGGGGGCACCGGTCGAACTTACAGGTGCTTTTGTGTTTCAGGGAGCGGTATATTGAGCAGTTCATTTGTAAACGTGGTTTTGTAAATACTGGAGCGTCAAAATCAGGAAAATTGTAATGGGAAATAAGAATAGATGGGATTTGGTAGATAATCACAACGGAAGGCTCAAAAACCTTGATACTAGGAGGGATCCACCGCACGAGGTGTAATACAAGTTATAATTGGCTCATCGCAGAGCGGATTACATATAGGATGTGGGTCTCTCTAGACAAGTGTACGCATAGTGAAAATCTGCCACCTGAATTCTATTCAAAATGAAGCCCCCTTTTGGTATTAACTTTTTACATGAAATATTTCAGAACTTGAGATACCAGCGTCAGTAAATAATGCTCTTGAAAGTTTGCTGGATCAGATTATCGATGAATATGTGAACAATTGGTACGAGTCTGAGATCAGCCGCGATCGCGCTTTTATTAATGAGATAAGGTACGTTCCTGAAATTTCTGTGAGCAGCACCAATGAGCCTCGGGTTTTTGAAATTGTTTACCATCTTGGGGCCATCGAGACGACCCGGAACTAGATCTCCGAAAGAATTACTGCGGTTGGTGGTGGATTGGCTGAACTCGAACATGACATTCCTTTCAGTATCTAGGATCAGATTTTTTTCAAATGCGCCGATATAGCCCGAGCTGCGTTCAGAACCTGTTCGAAATAAGGGTCTAGCGAACACTCTCCATTCCTTGGTCAGAATGTTGGTGGTAACAATGGAGGTAGAGCGAGACCTCAACGCCGTCGTTGAAACCACAGAATATCCATTCCGAGGGGAGGGGTTGGGGAAGGAGAACAAGGGGTCTTAGAATCGGTCTCATGTTACCGTCTTGTTGTTAGTCATGAGTATTTTCAGGTATCAGATTCGATTCGCTTGTTCTAAGATCTTGACAAAAGCATTGGCACTGGATCTGCCAGCAGTAGTGGCCGAGGACTTTCTGCCAACTATAGCCCTACATATGCATCGAATCATAGAAAAGGAGAACGAATTGTCAGAAAAGGTAGTATGTATCGGTTACTTTGCATAGCTATTAGGTCTTTTCGGCTTTACTGGGCTCATTAGCTTGTCACTTAGTGGTCATTACCATACATTTACTACATCCTAGTGAAGTTATGCTACTTTTCTTTGGGTTCTCTTGTTACAGTGGTGATCAAGATTGGTGTTTTCGGACTTGTGAAGAATTTCACTCTTTATCATCACCATAACAAGAGAACCCAGAGAAAAGTAGGTGAGAGGGCGCACTGGCTCTTGTCCTTTACTCTTGACTCTAGCCATACGAAATTAAAACTAAATGTATAATAAGGACGCCTATGTAAAACTGACCGGAGTTTCTTTAGGCGTATCCACGTTCACTCATTGAATCGCACATTTGTGAGAAACTTGCAGATCTGCATTTTTGTATGGGCAGTAGGAGAAACGAATTGGATTATTTAAGACAGGTATAATTTTCTGAATACAATTTTCCTTCACGTCCAAACCCCATCCGCTCCATGGTTTTTTTTCATACTCAGGTAGCAGACTTCTTGATAGCGAAACTTGTCGACGATACACATCTGGCTGGTAGAGCACATGATGATGACAGCCCATCAAGAATGGGTGGGAATGGCCGGAACATGGTTAGTCGACGCAATATCAGCCTTCAGTCTATGTAATTTTCCCAATTTTTTGTAGGAAATTTCCTTTGCGTTGAGGTTTTGGTAAGCCAGTTGTGGTTTTTCATTTGTAAGGTGTGACTGCTGGCACCATCGCATGAGCTTTCTTCAAAGAAACCTCTTGCGCCACCCTATTCTTCTTCTCATAGTATTCCACTCCTATTCAATCTTAACCTGGGTCTGGTCGCTATTTCTGGCCCATCTTCTCTAGCTTTGCTCCTGCATTTGGTCCTTAGATGACAGTACTGATGATTTCAGCTTTCTGGATAGCAACGACATGACTTGCTTGACATCCATTTTTCTGAAGCTTTGTAGAGGTCATTTCAATCTAACGCTATCGTTTCAGTCTTCCTGGCCTTCTCAGTCAGCGAGGCATTTTTTGCGTGAATTGGTTGTGAACGCAATCCTTTTCCCATGTCTTGATCTGATTGCTGACCCGGATACGATCAATCACTTACTGATTTTGGCGTTTGACGCTCAGAAAGCGGATGACGAAGAAGGGTCGCACCTCGCGACTACTGTATGTTGAATCTGTTTTTAAAGGTCAAATATTTCTAGTAACGACAAACTTTTTAGAGCAATGATGTAACTTTACTAACAAATTTCACTGAACCAACTTCACAGTCCGTCCCGGATTCACTGCTTCAACTGAAATTGAGCGAGGTATTTTTTCAAAGCGCTCACTTCCCTGTCTGTTTTTGTTTAATTCTATGTCTTTTCAGTTACTGAGAGATGCTAGGCAATTTTCCATGTTCCGACTGTATCTGCAAGATACTCGTGGACCAGTTCATGAGTTGAGCTTCTTGGCGGAAGCTTCTCGTATCCATGACAGTATGCAGAGAAAGGTCTGTTTTTGTTAGGACGCTGTCCCACAATAGCGAGTTAAATAGAAAGTGGATGATTTTTGGATCAGGAAGCTAAGACGGGGCCTGAAAGTGTAATGGTTAGGAGCATTGTAGACGGAAGGGGCTTAGGTTCGAGTTCTGTTTAAAATCGAATACCTTTTCCGTAACTGAACAACTTTCTAGAGGTTTTCTGATCGCAAGTTGCCGCTATAGCCAGCAGTATGAAAAAAAAGCAATGTAATCATCCAAGAAATAGGTTCGGTCATTTTTCTGACGTCAACTCAGCGCAGTTACAGTCCCTTGATTGCAAGGCGTTATTTCATCCGGATCATGGAATAATCGCATCCTTTGACAAACCTTAGACATGGCCTTTTGTGTAGGTTTCGACCAGTAGATGTCTTCCTCTTTGAACTTTTTTCTGACTGAATTTGCGGAGCTGCTAATGGCACCTGCCTCTTGGTTCCCATATAGAAACGTATTCTCGGATACACACCTCTGGAAATGACTATGGGATCGAGTCGTGTTGAAGAAATAATTGGTCTGCTTTCAGACAGAATCATCTAGTCAAATTGCGTATGACATCTGGCAGCTGTTCGGGCAGTTCGTTCATGACAGTGCTCCCGAAAAGATTGAGTTTGATGAAGAAATTGTCAACGAGTTCAAAGCTGCAGTCGAGTGCAATAATTTACTGTTACTTGACAAGATTATTGAGAAGGTCTGTGACAGAATTCTGGACGAGATGAAACTTTTATAAAAATTATATTTTTTTGTTTGCTTGTTTGTGTTATTTTTGTGTTTCCTATTATCTTTTGTTCCGAGATTCTTTGAAAGATTATAAGCGTGGCTGTCCAAATTTCCTCGGAAATATTTTTAAAATAATATGCTTCACGTTCTGATCTTGAGAATTCATTGAGTTGGTTATTTTTAGTCATATCAAGTCGTCTATCAACGAATGCAAACCGATCATGTGATTCCGTTTTGTCAGTCTGATGCATTCCTCGGGTGAGTATTGATTTCTACATGAACAGTTTAATCTACCTGAATCAGTTTTTTGCCTTCATTTACTTGTTTATTTGGAAAGATATTCAGATACCTGTGCGGTAGTCCACCTGTCTGTGTTAATGAGTTGATTGACCAGCGTTCTGTGCCGAGGAAGCCGTCTGTTACAGGAGGAACATTCTCCCTAGCGCAGTTCAGGTGTGACATTTGGGCGTTTAGACAATAACTACATATAACCTCGGTAGTTCACTGGAAAAAGCTGAAATCTTTCTTTCGAGAATCTGATCCAGCGCTCTGGTTTTTCCTATCTTCTGAGTATATTTTGTGGTAGTATTTGACTTAGATTTTTGGCCTTTCTTCAGTCAGTTAATGTTGTAGGATGAAACTGCGACGAGCCATTGCGGGAGTGTCAAGTGATTCAATGGAAAGCGAAGACTCGTTGGGTTCAGGCTTCAGTGAGTTAGTGGATGATACGAAGAATGAAAATGCTGTCAGCGAAAGTGTAAAGGAAGCACCAATGGCGAGAAAGGTCAGATCTGTTGGACACTGAGGCTGTCCTTTCCTTTTACCTGAACATCAAGTCAGTGAGCCTGTGGCAAGTGTATGTGTCATGAAGTTCAGCATTAGACCACTAGAGAAGCACCTGAAAAGGTTTATGAAGTTGTGCAGGATTCGTCGTGGAAAAAATTGTATAGTGTACTTCTCAACTTTTTGGGGCTTTATCCTAATTGAGCGTTACGTGAGCCGAACTATGCTGTACCTATGTCGAAAAATTGTACTTTGATAGGTGGGAGGGGTGCGCACCTTGATTTAGTTTGTTCGAGAAGTAACTGACTCGGCCTAGAATGGTTTGCAGTTGATTAAAAATGGTAATAGATGAACCGAACTCGGTTCCGCCATAGGCCAAGGTTGTCGGTTTCCGGGCAGTAGTTCAGGGTTTATAGTGTGAAACCCTCAAGTAATAGGTTGAAATGGGCGGTGGTAGCTTCACTGGCTGCTAACTGGTAAGTAGCTTCTTTTTTACAGATTGAAGTTAGTAGTGGAAGAGTCGAAAAGTATAAAGGGAGAAGAAATGATCAGGATGACCACCCNGCCATAGGCCAAGGTTGTCGGTTTCTGGACAGTAGTTCAGGGTGCGGCTTTAAGCAAGTACGATCATGAAGCTTAGAGTTTCCGGGCAGTAGTTCAGGGTTTAGAGTGTGAAACCCTCAAGTAATAGGTTGAAATGGGCGGTAGTAGCTTCACTGGCTGCTAAGTAGCTTCTTTTTTACAGATTGAAGTTTGTAGTGGAAGAGTCGAAAAGTATAAAGGGAGAAGAAATGATCAGGATGACCACCCAGAGGCCTCAATTGAAATGGTTACTAAGTCAGACCAAAACGTCCGAGAAGCTCGTTGAGCTTTTCTGGGGAAGATTTCCGTCAGTAGACAACTCATGAAGGGAGTTTGATCTCCAAACCTGAAACACCCGCAAAGCGTTTTCCAGGGTTAAAGTTTTTTTCAGCTCGCCTCACTTTCTCTCAGAAAAACGAGAGTAGGAAAAAGGCTGTGACGAAGTACAAATTACAGGTTGATTGCAGAGCTCAGCATCAAGCTTCACGTCTCGCTCATTGTCTCAGCTGAGTCTACCGTCAATCGATGTGTCTATGGTTGGTGATGCGGGTAATATATCGCCTGCAAGCGGGTATTCGGGAACGGTACGCCTTTATGTTTTTTTTTCAACTAGAGTATCTTGAGGACGAGGCCAATTTGAGCTACGCCTCGCAATTAGCTTCCCTACAGAGGCTATGCCATTCGACGAGTCTGGCGCAACCTCCCCCCACTCCCTCCCTCCCTCCCTCTCCCTCTTGAAATATATAAGACTCCTTGTGACCGCAGTCTGAGGTCGGAATATAAACTCAGGAAGCGTACTCCGTCCTTTTCAGCACTACCTCACTTCAGCTCTGATAAAAGACCGTTTTTAAACATGGCTTCATTCAGGACGAAGATGACGTGAGCTCATCATCTGCTGTAGAAGCTTCAAACGCCGAACCTGTACTCGTCATCGATAAAGAAACTCGGAACATAAACCAGTGGAAAGTGAACATTAGCAAAATCGTACCAATGAGGGATAGCACGACAGGTGAAAAGCTCGTTAGGTCTTTTTGAAGGTTTCACAATGTGGAATTTCGTTTAGGGAGAACTGTCTATGTTTACGTCATTGATGTGGAACGAAAGGAAGCGAAGGAGAAAGAGACCAAGTGTTGGTGTATATATCGGTAAGTTACCCAGAATATTTCATCGTGTTTCGGCTTTAGACATACCGCTTTATCCAACACTTTTCTTTTCCGGTGCTTGAATTCTACTTGCAAAAAGGTGATAGGAAAACGAATTGATAATGATAAGAATCTGAGTAGGTAATAGCGACATAATCGATTGTTTAAATTCTTCACTTTATGGCGGATTTACCAGCTTTCATTTAGAAATTTTGATAATACTATCAGACGATGAATGAGAGGGACTAGGCGACTGACTTCTCGATGTAAATCTATTTGATTCGGTTTTATAAGTGATTGGTTCAGGCGCTTCGCTGAGTTTTACGTACTTGAGATGAAATTACTGGAATTCCATGGTGATTCACTTCGTTTTACCTTGCTCCCTCCAAGAAAGGTAAGTTTAATCATGTATGTCAGTTACTCCATAAATTATCCAAATGCTCTGTAAAGACGCTTCCTTCTGAGCTCAGCGTTAAGAGCAGTGTTAGCGGAATTCTTTGAAATTTTAGACATTCGGAGGAACAGAATAACTTTGCCTGAAAAATTATCCTCCATTCTAATTGAGTGCATGTAAACTATGAAATTCAGACATTGGTTAGCAGAAATCGAGCATTTCTTGAGCAACATCGCCTACTATTTTCGCTGTTCCTCTCATCACTCTGTAAACAGGTACTGCTTTACCTTTTGGCACACTACTTTGCCCTCTGATATCATTGGTTTGATTAGGATGAATCAAAAATTTTTAACTTTTCCTTTTAGCAATATTTTTCCAGAATATGTTGCAAAGGTCCGATCTTTTGTTTGCGTTCCTTACCAGTTCCGAAGAATTCCGACAAAACATACTGCTTAGCGATTTGAATCCGTGGAAGGTTGGTTTCAAAGGCTGAGACATTGCTTCGAGATAGTTTAGAAGGATTACAAGGCCGCTTTTTCTAATCTTTCTTGTTTCCTTAATTTCTGATTATATAAATATGGTAACACAAGGTGACCGTAACTTTTTTCATCAGTTACATGATTTTTTTTTAGTATTTCTTCTTCAACCTCAATGTCGCAAAAATGAGGTATTTTCTACTTTCATGTTGATTTTTTTTGGGGCGGAAGACGATTCTGAATGGAAGTCGAGAGCGAGGCGCATCCCTCAGACGGGATTGATTAACGCCAAAGACTTTGTTAACTTTTACGCTAATTTTTGCTGTTGTTAGAAATTACCAAAATCCGCTGATTTTCCTTGATTTTCGATCCATTATTTATTTTCATACTTGTTAGAGTAAAATTTGTCTATTTTGTTGTTTATTTACTCAGTAGTCATTTTGTCAAAGTATTTTTTACATTTTCAAGGTGGTGAAAAAAATGCCTGGAAAGTTGAGCCGTGAAAAAGGCCAACATCTTCGACCATTCCTTCTCACTGTTCTTGCCAATACTCTCTTTACACAAGAGAAAGTGGAGTTCAAAGAAAAGTTTGAAGCATCTGAGTCTAGGTAGGGTTTTCATGAGTTTTCTCCTTTTCAATTTAAGCACTCGTCGTTGTCACTTATTGAGAAGAAGGAAAAGTTTTTGCAGCAGTTTGTCATCTTTGAGCGTAAGTGGTGAGCAATATCATACAAGCTTTTATAATCCCTTGTTCGGCAACAACTGTTATGGGTGTAAGATAGCAGAAAACGAGGGTGGTTGTATGCAGAGCTGGTCGAGGTTTGTTTTTGTTTTTATTCTTGTCCACCCAACTTGTCGAAGAAATTATTTTGATTATGTCTGATTACAGAAGTTTCACAGATGGTATGTCCCTATTATTCTTTTCCGTTATGTCGCATGCATCTCATTGGACAATGAACATTCATTCAGCCCTCAGGTTATTTTTGTGTTTTTTTTTTAAAGTTTACTTACTACATTTTCAACATTGCTCACAAAATTACACATTTGCTCTACCTGTTTTATCGTTGTATTCTCATTTTTTTTCAGAATTTTTCGAAAATTTCGAGTTCGGTTATTCCAGAATGTTATGCCGTAACACGATCGATTATCTGATGCTTCATCTACTGAAAAGGCTCTACTGGATAGTCTTCAGTGAAGTGAACCTTGTCACACTTACACAACTGATTCAAACTGCAATCTTCTGTTCGGATGGGTCGTTGCCTTCTGATCAGGAGAAAAGCCTTCGAGAAGAACTGGCAACGAGGCGTGCACTGGAATTCGCGCAAGAGGAGGTACTGAAATTTGATTCTGTGTTTTAAGCTTCTGCATACGTCATTAGCTTTAGTCTAATGGGAGTTAATAGAGTAGGAATGAAGCTCTTGCTGAAGTATGGTGTTTGGGGCGTGTTGGCTACAGCAGTAGCCAATCCGCTGGGGACGTGCACACATTCCACTCCCTATTCTCGACAGGGAACTGCAGCTGTGTGGTCTTCATGGTTAGGAGTAACTCCTAAAGACCATTTTTCGAAATGGGGACCGATCATCACTGCGCTGGTCATGCAGAGAGGAGTGCTGAATTCTAAAGAACTCGAAAGCATTTTCGATGTTCATGGTCGGCTCTAAGATTAAAGGCACCGTTCACGATAAAAAAAGTTATTGAGTTCTTACCTTATTAATACTCAGCGGCCCCCATGGGTTGTAGAAGGAACCCTCTCACTCCCCCAATCTCGACGTCCAGGGAATAGTGGCAGCCCCGTTGTTGCCGTAGTTCGCGTTCCCGCCCCTCGATCGGTGTCACGTTAGACGAGTGTCGAGACAATACAGATTGTTATTATTCGTTCTAGGACCCACGCACAATCAGCTAATCGCCGAGTGATGAGGCGATGTTTTTCTCCCATTCTTTTTTCCTCTGTTTTTCTTTTTGCTGCCGCGATCCCTTATCCAATTTCCTACTCCTAGAGGCTGAAAAAGGTGAGCTGCTTTTGCTGTCACTAGCGTGTTTAAGTTTATTTATGCTTATAAGTGAATGAATTTTTTCTTACCACTGTCTGTTATTCGCACCAGGACCCACACGCGCGCAGTGAAACACACTGTTTAGCTCGTCCGGACGCCCCACTCTTCTTCATTTTTCTGGTTTCATTCTCGTCTAGCCCCCTTTTTAACGTTTTTTCGAAGCCTTCTTTCACTTTGGAAACACCGATGCACGCATGAGCCTTCTTTCCTCACCTCAGTCGCACTATTTTCGATCTTGTCTTCCATTTTTCATCATGATCTGGATTACCCAAATTTATCGTGAACGGTGTCTTTAAGTCTGCATGTCAAATTCAACATAGAAAAATAGCTTAGAAAGTTTTCTTTCTATTACTCATCACTGAAGATAACAAACATGAAATGAAAGAAGTAGAAAAGAATATAAGTAAAGTGAAGTTTTTGGCCTTAATCCCGTCTTAGGGAAGCGCCTCCGCGCTCGCCTTCCATTCAGCATCGTAGTGGCGTAATGAGTGCGTATGTGGCCTTTACAATGACTTACGATGGCCAGCCGATCTGCAAGTCAGTGCTTTTATCCTCCCAGACAAGTCTGGTACCAATTCACCGACCCCGGAGGGATGGAATGCTTGGTTGGCCTATCCGGGCATCGATCCGGGATTCGAACCCCTTACCGTGCGAGTGATATAGTGCGCCAGTTGCCACTAACCACTTCCGCCCAGAAAAGAATAGTTGTGTCAAATCACTGGCGCATGATGAAATCCTTTCAATCTTCTTCAGATGCCATCATGTGTGCTACGAGTACTGGACTCTAAAAGTTGGCGTGGTGGAGTCAAAAGACTGGTTAACACCCTCCAGTACCCGCGACTCAATAAACATCTGTCCTATCTGCTTATGGATCTGCTTATGACAAAGCTTTTCCCCGAAGAATTGTCGTAGAATGTGTAACCCATATTTATTGACTTACTCGGTGTTGTGATAGTCTTGCCATAGTATAATAAAACAATGATCTCATGGGTTCTGTATACATTTGAAAGTATTTCCTGGTGAGGTACGTGCACCTTTCATTGAAGTAGTATTTCACAAAATTCGGCGATTCTCGAGAGGATTTTAACTTTTGTTCATTGAAACGCCGATATTGATAACTCCCGTATTAAATGAAATTTGGTAATATCAGAATTTTCAGAGTCTGTCCAATCGGTCAAATTTACTGGTGATCATTTAGCGGGCTATTCTGAATTGACCAAATAATTCGCGTGCATGGCGTGCCCAGAAGCGTCATTCAACGAAGTGTCTAGGAGGAGTATGTATCGAAAACAAAATGTGGTATAATTTTAATCTAAAAAATACAATTGAATTGATAGACAGTTTGCAATCGTTTGCCGTATTTCTGCAAACTCGCTGTACAGTTTTGAAATAGCGACAACACGGTCCGATCATCGTCTGGAATCGGACAGACGGTAATTCTCGTTGCAAAATTTTCTGCAAGGTCCGGAATGATTAACAACAACAGTTCCCGCTGAGGATAGTGCATGATTATCCATTTACCACATACGCTTTACATTTTGCGTTACTTTGATGCTTATAAGGAATCGAAGATGAGCCGCACCGTACACCAGTCATGCGATTTTGGGATGACCGTTGTGCGAAGGTGGTGACCAGCCAGGAAAACGGAGTTCAGGCGAATACTAAGAAGTTCGTTAGCTTGGCGGTTCAGGCTTCTTCACGAAAGCTCTGAGAAAGAATTACTTGCCTCGTATCTCTTGAGAGCGATCGGTTCACAAGACACATTGGCCCATGAAACTTAGACGTTACTGGCACCTGCTTGGGCGCATCAATGGCCAAAGGAGTACCATCAAAGTCAATCTTATTCTTCTGCAAAGCATCGGTCGGATGAATGTAGTTCAGAGGGTTCTGAAAGAGGACTGGAGGTGCTGGTTAACTATGGAGTGACCGAATTCCAGTTCTCTATTTTCAGTTGGGATTTTTTCTATTACCTTTGCAGAACATTTTCCTCATACTCAGCAAGACGCGAGCATGAAACGGACTGAACAGAAACGTCTTTACCCTCATTTTTTGAAGCTTCCTGCATCGTACATAGGACAGTGTTTATGGGGTAACCTAGTAATATTCGGTTGAACCAGTGTTTTAACTCTCAATCTTTCTCGATTCTTGATCTTGATCAGTGATGTTTCATGGGACCACTATAAGAACCCCTCCATCAGTATCATGGTAGCCACCTTCTCCCCAAAAATGCTGTGCATGTTCCATAACTAACCCTGCTTAATTCGATCGTCTCCTTATCACTACTTATCCGAGCTCATTGTTGATTCCTGAGGTACAGCTATCACCAGCAGGGAAGCATATATCATCATTTACTCCCGAGTAATCATTTCTTAGCTTACAGTAAGTACGTTTATTTGTTTGCCCTGACGTTCCACCATCGGTTGCGTAGGATCTGATATGAAGTCTTTGGTTTTCATCTTTCGATGCCTTTTAATGCTCAACCTAATGCTTCACTGTGAACAAGCTGAAGACTACAGGAATTGCCCTGATATTGACACGGTACCAACAGTCTTTTACGCAGGTTCTCCTTTTGCTATAAGTTCAACTTCGCTTCTCGCAACGGTTTAGAATGAAATTTTTGGCGGATTTTGTTTGGTAGTGGATATCTATAAGGGCAAAATTTACAAAGAAGATAGTTGTATCATAAAAAAAAGTACTGAGTTCAAACCAAAAAAAGGAGTGAGTTCTTTGAAAAGCTGATTCGCTCGTATCATAATTTCCAAGGTTTGCTTGTTTTTCCTTTCAGCAACAAAGCTGGAAGCGAACTGAGCCCGTTTGCCAAATTACTCCAACGAAGCAATCAATGGGCCTTCATGGTATCCTTCCTTATCAAGAACTAAAGTGTTTCTGTCCTTATGGAGACGCAGACAAGTGCATGGACACTATCACTGTGCGTTACTGCATCTTTTAATTGATTAAAACTTTTCTGATAGGCCTTATGGGGTATTCCTTGTGCGGTTACCTTAACAATCTTCTCGTGTAATAGAGAACTAATCAGCGAGAAAGGGCGCTATCATAGCAGGGTGGTGGGGTGGGGGAGTGCTTTTCTACTGAGTTGATCATTTTTGAAAGTTCAAAGACATTGTGATAAAGTAGTGCGATGTACCACACCAGGTGACTACCATAGGCTCCCGACCCGTGTCGCCGTCCATCCCGTTGCGTCAGCATACGTGACGGGTTTCAAGGCAGTCAGCAAACAAATCCTATATAGTGTGTGTGATTACTCTATCACTGTGGTGGGTAGGGTGGGTGGGTCAAAACATGATCGTGATTTTTTTCGAAGTGCCAAATATGCTTTATTGATGCTTCGTTTGATTGCTGCTTTCCAACCGTTCGCGATACAAAAGTCCTTAGAAGATTGCGAGGGCTTGAGTAGAGGTAGGTTTTGGTGGAACTCGGACTCATTAGAGGCCAAACTTTGGGATCGTTTTTCGTGTTTAAAACTCAGCATTGTGTGAAGATCAGAAGCCTTTCACTAATGAATGCAGTAGGCTCAGCTTTTGCAACGAAATCGAAATGAAGCGTAACTTTGTGTCCCTTTTTTTTGCCCCTAGATCTCCCAGGAACGAGTTTACCCTTTTGTTCCATTGATTTAACTTTCATTTACAAACGGTCCTAGTTTAATATGCGAATGAAGAATATCTTTGGGGAGTTTTTCCAGTAGAGTCCCAGCCTATATACGGTAGTAACGCCCTATAGATAAATAAACAATAGTTACCAAGGGGAATAGCCACATAGACAGCACTGGGTTCAAATATTTCAGCATGCTTGCGTTCAACTAAAGGGTGTTTTTTTTGCAGAATGTGGTCGACAGTTACTGTTGGGAGGAAATCAGAAATGAGATTAAGGACCTATTGTCTCGTAAGTCAGAAAAGACAACGGAAGGGATGGCAACGACACGATCATCATCAACAGGCAGTGGGAAACTTAAAACAGTCGGAACAAAAACAACAAGAAATACGACCACTGCCACCATGCCTGCTATCACTACGCTTACTCCGTCGACGACCAAATCCACCACCACTACCACCACCGCCGCCACCACCACCACAACAACAACAACAACAAAAACGACAACTTCGACGACTTCAACAACTACTAGTGCGACAACCACAACAAAAACTCCCGTATCGACTTCCTTAAATACAACTTTATCAACTACCCCAGGAAATACTGCAACTATTATCGTTTTACCAGCCACGGCAAGTACCATCTTGGCAACAAAATCATGGAAAAAACCAAATTTCACAAAAGTCATCAAGTCGACAACCACTTTAACCGAGAAATCTACTGAAAGTGTTTTCAACCCAACTGCAATGCTCACGAAATCGCCCCAGGTAACAGAAACTACCACAAGTACTGAGGAACCTGGTGAGACAACAACAACGGAAGTCTATGACCCGGGAAGAATTACTACTATTTGGATTACTCGTGAGGTAAGGGAGAACATTACTTCGGGTCATGACATTTGAGTTGAATGGGTCGACGTTTCAGAGAGAATATCGCCGCAAGTTGAAGGAGCTCGAGTAAGTTTCATGCATCTTCATTGCTAGAGGAAATATCGAAAAAAGCCTTTGAAAGTCTTTTATTTGTCTCAAAGCATGTTTTGATTTGTAGAGGAAAAACGGAACACCGAATACTGTACAGTTGGAACTGGATTTCCCTAAGCTTTCCAACACCCTTAAATGAATTGTGAAAGGATTTCTAAGGGTCCTACATCTAGGAGCCTTCACCAATCTTTCAGCTTCTTCAACGGGTTCCAAAATCCATGTTGTACAAGTCGCCCGGTTATTGCGGTCCTCAATTTCTCTATCCTCTCCATCTAAAGCTTACCTTTAAATGAACAGTACGAGATAAGTACGTTGCTGGCAAAAAACATTAGGGAATGTACAGATGGGAGAGCAACACATGCATAGCAAAGTAGTGAGGGCTGAACAACAGGTCAGGCAGGTTTCAAGAAAGCTAGGATGGGTAAAGCCGACACGTAGTAAAATGGCGAACCAAAGGGGATCATTGCGTTGGAGAGCGGCATCTCGTCTGGACTCGAAGAATGGTAGAGCTGAGTAAAAGCATTGAGTGTTTGGGCGTTTTATGAAGGCTCCAGGAATAAAGTGGGAATAAGAACAGGTTGAGGCATGTTTCGCAAAGCATTCACTTCTACTCCAAGCTTAACTTTTCGAGCCAGTTGACAGATTTTCAATCGAATTTCTACCCCTTGAGGAACTTCTCTGGTCACTAATCTACCACTCTTCCCTCACGATATAATTGTTTCGCTTCGATACGGATAGAGTCGTCAAGCGCTTTCTCGATCTGCTACTACTAGTTACTCAATGACATGTGGAGCTCCTCGCCTTTCTGCATCGTATATTCCCTTGTTTACCGAACGAAAATCTTTTGGTCAGGGAACGGAAGGGAACACATTCCAGAGATGGGGGCAGAAATGAACCTAATGGGTGGTTCTGGTCACGGAACAGGAGATCGTACGGTCTGGACGGCAACACCCGCATGGTGGCGAACCTAGTGTTGGACGGCTAATCAGACAATTCATTGGAACTTATCGACTGCTCTCCTTTTTCACACATGTGAGTGATCTTCATCGTAGTCGCCCAACGTCCAACAGCTCCTGCTCACCTGTTTTGACGGATGCCCGGTAGACCCATCGGCTGGAGCAAGACAAGCACATAGACAGCCTCCACATTCTTTACCCCTTCCACCCTGCTTCTTATGGAGCGTGTCTGAGCTCAGGCCTATGTCGAAGGCCCATTGGTTATCAGAGAAGGTCGGCATGGCTACCCTGGTGTTTTATGGATAGAACCAGATGATTATACCGTGCATATCACGTCTGTGCGTCTGCGAGCTGTTCAAAAATTTATTTCTTTGAAGGTAACAAACCTCAACTATTCTCCTAGGGGTAACCGTGCTTACCATCGGAGCTCGAATATAGCGCTGAACATAATCTTTAGCTTTGCTGCTTCTTATGAGTGATCTGAATACTCCCTGCAAGTTTTCAGGTTGGTACGAAAAGTTTTCTTTTCATGCGACAATTTTTCTCACTTTACTGCTCTTGTCTGATGCCCATCCCAACAGTTCAGCTCCCCTACTGCTCTTGTCCGATGCTCGTCAAACTTTCCAGTTCAGCTTCAACTTGCGGTCAATTGTATCCCGCTCGTCCTTCAGTTTATTAGAAATCGTATCGCACTAATCGCCCGTCTTGTCCGCCCCAGCTGAATTTCACACTGTTCGTTTGGTGCCAATCTTTGGTTGAAGGAGTATAGATAGCAGAACGTTGACAGTGGTAACGTCAGCGACGAAGTAGCGGAGAAAACCTAGAATTTGAAAGAATAGCTTAAGTGGGTAGTCTAATGAGGAGAAGGGATTTTTTTGGACAACTACTACATGCTACACATGCAACTTATTGTCAGATTTTCTGTGATAATTTGGAATATTTGCAGCAACCAATTGATTGAACGATTGGCAATACTANTGGTAACGTCAGCGACGAAGTAGCGGAGAAAACCTAGAATTTGAAAGAATAGCTTAAGTGGGTAGTCTAATGAGGAGAAGGGATTTTTTTTGGACAACTTCTACAGGTGTCCCAAAATTATTGGCGCCGATTTATAGCAATATATTTCAAACTTCTCAGCTGCGAATGACGATGGAATCTCTATGCACGTTAGCTAACACTAGTAGCTACAACACGCTACAGTCTCCTTTAAAAATATCCCCCTGAGCGCGGATAGAAGTCAAAGTTTGCTCTCGACTTGATCGCATGTGGCACGAAGGTATCCTCCTCCATTTCTTTCCAGCCATTCTTCAGCCTTTGCATTCTAATACTCCAAACTGGGACTGCAAAATCGACAGGTCCTCTTCTAGCCAGGAACCAGTCGTGGGGTCAAGTGAGTCAAGTTCCGGAAAATAGGATGACCATCCCTCTTCACCAATGAAGTCGGGCAGCTGTCGTCGGCAAAACTCGCGAGCAAGCTTGGCTCTGTGAGCTGGAGAAGCGTCCTGCTGAAATGACTACGAGATGTTTCAGAAGACGTGGTCGGATCAGTGTTTCATTTACTACCATCAGTACGCCGTTTGAGTACTGGTCTTGGTCAATTTCCGTGCCAGCACCGAAGAAAACATGAGCGGCCTTACCCTTCCCAGTGATTTCCTCGGAAAACATCATTTTACTATTCTGATAGCAACCTTTTTGTGAGATATTACACGCTGGATGTTGCTTTCCGGAACGCGATCGTTTTGGTTGTTGGACATGGCTTTATCGTAAAAAAATTCTTGACCAGAGAAAACGACGAAGGGTTGCGTGTCACCTTTTTCGACTTTCTGCATTTTTGGCCCGGCAGTGTCTGTTGAGATCGGAATTGAAGCGAAATTTGTGCATACGATAGGAACGGTAGTGAAGCTCCTGCATGACATTCTTCCATCGCGATAACTCCTTCAAGCCGTGCCCGTTGACTTCCTTTTGATGGGTCACCCAGAATCCCGACCGATTGGTAGACGGACCATTTTAATAGCCCTATATCCAAAAAATTCTACCTTTCTACTTTTCTGGTTTGTCTCTGATTTAAGCTTTTTCTCCTGTATCGCCTAATAGCCTCCTATACGGTTATTACAAAAATCCCAAGGAATTTCATAATGCCCTTCCACCTCTCGCGTGTCAATGATTGCAAGTGGCATTGAATGAGCCTCCTCCATCTGAAAGATATTAGGAGTTCCACATCAGAAGCCATGCATATTGCAAGGAAACCTTCTCATGCAACTACTTAATAACAGGTTATGTGAATTTGATATATTATTTCTACCTTAAAAATTCCTGAATTCTGGCGCCAATAATTTTGGGTCACCCTGTACATGCTACACATAACTCATAACAGATTTTCTGTGATAATTTGGAATTTTGCAGCAACCAATTGATTGAACGATTGGCAATACTATTCACTCTGATGACAATCATACTGCTAATACAAGCGAGACTTTTTGAAAAACTCCGAGACCATCTGGAATTTTATTCATATGGACAGCGTCGAAGTGTACCGCCAATACCCTGAAAAGGTACGTCCTACATTGCATTACTAACGAAAAGAGACGGATGAATAAGTTTCACAGTGCATAAGGTAAACAGAGTTCAGTCTGGGAATGAAGAGTCAAAACAGCGGCATGGCTCAAACCTGAGATCCAATGCGCTCCATTCGCTACTCACTGTAAAAGCAAATAACCACTGAAATTAACAGTATATGTAAGAGAGAACTGGTGGTAAGGGGGAGTTTGATGCTATGATAGGGTTGCAGAACCTAGAGATAATCCTTCCCAGCTGAATTTCTCATCTGCTAGACTGGTTTCTTTCATAAGCTATCGTAAAATTCTCGTTCTCTATAATAACCAGTCTCTTTACTACTTTGAATTGCCAATGTGGTACCTCAAGCTTCTTTAGAATCGTCTTCCGGGAAACTCTTTCAATTCATTTAAAAGACAATTTTGCAAAGACCTGGATCGAACTCCCTTCATCAACTGTCTCTTTTTTTTCTGCAGGGACCGTCTTACACAATACCCCGTCTCGAACTACATTATTATATTAAGAAGGTGGGACGGTTGGCGAGCCGACATAGAATCTACCCGCCTGCCTGATATACAAGGGAAACCTTTGAATATTACGGTATTTTAAATTGTTTTGTTGCTGTGTGGTATAAAATGTTCCTTTATGATTTATTAATTGCAAGAAATAAGAAAATCAGAGAGTGATTTTGCCGATTTCCTACCAACAAGGGACAGACACACGAGGAAAAATTCGGAGAACGTCCGTTGCGCGCGTCCGTCGAAAGTAGGTCACCCCGCCGAATTCGCGCGCGGTGCAAACCACTAACAAGGAAGGTCTTTCAGGTCGTGGGACCTTTTCGAAAGTGGTTTTTTGCATGGTGTAGGGGCATGAGCACTGAGTACAGAACTATGGTCCATTCCGCTAAATGGCCTTCTGAATACCAAAAAAGGAGTGAAAATGATTTTGCCAGAAATTGCCGTTTTAACCCACTAAGCGTCGTTCGTTTCAGTCATGACGTCGACTGTCCGCACAGTAGAGGGGGCCAGTGGAGGCGTCATTGAAAAGAACGTGAAAGGTCGCCAAAAAAGGGACCCACATGTTG